GTGTGTTGCTATGCAGTTGCTAAGGTGGTTTCTAGGTTTCAGAAGAGTCCGCCACCATGTCTCTACAATACCTTAGGTCCCACTTCCAATGTCAGTATATGGGATTTTCCATAAAAATCATATGTCTGATTTCTAAGAAAGAAAAATAAAAAACAACTCGTATACAATTTGAGCCATCATTCATGTTTGTAACAAAAACAGAAGAATTACTTGCCATACTTGGGTTTAGTGCATTAATAAAATTGCATATTAAATCAAATCACTGAATTTTAAAGCACTAGTAGTGGCAAGCAATGTTTGCGAAGGTTCATTAAAATATGAAAAAAAAAAATGTATTTACAATATTCAGTGGTGCTTTAAAAAAAATTACAGAGACAAAGTGAGGAGTGCAGATATATCCAGAAGGAGAAAACATGAAAGAGCATTGAAAACACGAGATAATTATGAGTGGATTAGACCTCAAAGAGAAACACATGGGCTTTAAAGAGACTGGGCACATTCAAGCAGCTGGAATCATATGGATGCAAATTGGAACCTCATTTGAATATTCAAAGCCAATGGGAAGGATTTTGTATGTTTGTGTGTGTGTGATTGTGTGTTTGAAGGTGATCTCATCCCGTTTCAGATCAATGTTCCACTTCTGACAACAACCGACAAGTTCAGTTTCTGCACTACCGTATAAGTATCTGAGGCTCTTTAATTGACCGTGGAAAGATTCAGACTGAGATGGCGGTGAGTCAAAGAGCCAGTTGGTTAATAGTGCACTCTGAGATCATTCTGGGTTGGGTTGGACTGTAGGCGTCAGCACTTTTGTGTGCTGTACATATACACATTGCTAAAAGTCACTCCACCCGCCAAACACAAAACTACAGAGAGAAATCATGCTTTAATTGAGGTGTTGAATGGGTGCAAAGGTGGAAACCGCCCTGTCCGGAAGTGCTACTGACAGAAATACAGATGAATTGTTTGCGAAGGTTCATTAAAATATGAAAAAAAAAATGTATTTACAATATTCAGTGGTGCTTTAAAAAAAATGACAGAGACAAAGTGAGGAGTGCAGATATATCCAGAAGGAGAAAACATGAAAGAGCATTGAAAACACGAGATAATTATGAGTGGATTAGACCTCAAAGAGAAACACATGGGCTTTAAAGAGACTGGGCACATTCAAGCAGCTGGAATCATATGGATGCAAATTGGAACCTCATTTGAATATTCAAAGCCAATGGGAAGGATTTTGTATGTTTGTGTGTGTGTGATTGTGTGTTTGAAGGTGATCTCATCCCGTTTCAGATCAATGTTCCACTTCTGACAACAACCGACAAGTTCAGTTTCTGCACTACCGTATAAGTATCTGAGGCTCTTTAATTGACCGTGGAAAGATTCAGACTGAGATGGCGGTGAGTCAAAGAGCCAGTTGGTTAATAGTGCACTCTGAGATCATTCTGGGTTGGGTTGGACTGTAGGCGTCAGCACTTTTGTGTGCTGTACATATACACATTGCTAAAAGTCACTCCACCCGCCAAACACAAAACTACAGAGAGAAATCATGCTTTAATTGAGGTGTTGAATGGGTGCAAAGGTGGAAACCGCCCTGTCCGGAAGTGCTACTGACAGAAATACAGATGAATATGACTGAACGGTGATGTTTTCAATGTTAAAATACCTTATATCCCAGCTCAATATGCAGAGCATAGGCGGAGCGTGTGTAAGGCTGGCCACGGGGACTTGGGGCAAAAATGCCACTAAATTGAACAAAAATGCCCCTGCACAAACAAATTAAATCTATTACGTCTGTTGCCAACAAAGTAAATATGAATAGACAGTGTCGATTGCGGCATTAAATTAAGATCTGCTCATGTTGCACCGTATTTCATTTTAGGCGTTTTTACAGTGTTGCGCATTTCAACCAATCACACACGATTCTGTTGAGCTTATGAATGCAATGGCCAATCAGAGGCGTTCAGATGAGTCATCGTTGAAACTCATCAGTTTTGTTGAGTGTGAATTCCGGACTCTTGCGAATTCTCTCATCATAAACAACAAAGCGCAGATGTACGTACAATGTAAGTAAGAGATTCATTTCACAGTGTATATATATACAGCTTCAGTGATTATAACAATAGTTTTTTTTTTTTTTTTGAGAGTGCTTAAACTCGCGATAGATCAATGTTAGTGATAATGTCACTTTCTATATATCATTTATTCGCTGTTTGAATAACCGTGGAAAGGAAACGTTATATAATTATCAATTTCTAATGTTTTTATTAAATTGTAATCACGTTAAATACAAATTCAGTCCCATTAAAAAAAATTTTTAGCCTACATGACACCCATGTCTGGTTCTTGCCTAAAAAGACGGGTTTATGATGTTTAATACATTTGGCTGCGTTTAGCCTTACATTGGAGTTGGTTTACCCTCCGCCTATGATGCAGAGACAACTATTAGTAACCTATTTGTAGTGTATATCTGTTGGTCCAACTAATAGCGGATGAGTAGAGTGTTCAGGAAACCTGTCTGAAAACAGTCACTAATTGTAAAAAAAATTGCACACTTCACCTTTAAAGTACTCACGAGACGAAGTAATTGCATGACCTATTGATGATCAAGCAAATACAGTATGTCATGTGCTTTTATCTTTAACCTATGATCATAAATGTTTACTACTTAATCATAAGTTCAGCATTTTTTGGAGTGAAATCAACTGTTCTGTCACGAACTGGCATTCCATGTTGCACAGTAATAGGTGTACATAATAAGTGATACAGTATACTAAAGTAGGCGTCTTTGGGACTGCCCCACATGGCATCACAATGAGATCACATTAAACAGTTTGTTTCCTGGTGTCTGCATAAAATTTCATTTGCTTTCCTTCCTTTCATTTCTTTGCGTTACTACTAACTCAAAATGAAATGTATATATTAGGAACACATTGTAAATAACACAAGGGGGTGTTAACATTTCTGAAGTCAATCTCAAAAAGGTCAAATATGAAATATTATGATATGACATACTACACTTGCAAACAAACAAACACCATCAGTAAAAACAGCACAAGAACTCAACAACTAGAAAATCAGCCTGTGATTCACAGTTCGGGCAGAACCACAACAGTATGTCATTAGATCAGTCAGTTGTCTCACATGTGGTCACTGGACTCACGCCAGTATATATTGATGAAACACAGTTTAATGTTAACTATAAATGACATTTAAGAAAATTACATATACATATAAGATACCTAAGAATTATTTTTACAAAATTATGCACAGATGTTTTATATTTCGTTCAATCATAGGGATATTCAGATCACTAACTCTAAGTTTAAAAGTCATAATGCTTGCCTTATCAAACATTACTAATAAAAAATTAATAAAAGTAATCCAGTGTTGGCGTCATCCGTTGATGGTCAATATGGGTTTGTGGGTTATGGGGTCATTGTCGGATTAATCACAGAAATGTCTTTAATTTCTTTTTGGACACAAAATACATTATAAATAGGTTACATCACAGATTCAGCAGAACAACATTTGCTTAAAGTGAGGAAGTGAATGGGAAGTTAAATATAACCTTGCTCCAACATAGCAGAGAAAAGTTCATTTATAGCTATTCATTAACCTGATTGATTATAAAGATATGCATTAAATCAAGGATTTGTTTAGGTCTTGTTTTTAATGAACTGACTATTCCTGGGGGCTGTTTCATAAAACAAGTTTACCAAACAAGTCAGGTTTATTTCAGTTAGTCTGGCTTATTGTCAGTTGATTTGGTTCAAAGTAAGTCAGAATAACTGCAATAATCCTGGTTTGTTTGGTAAACTTGTTTTATGAAACAGGTCCCTGGTCTCAGGAGGTTATCAGTGTGTTTGAGTGAGTGTGTTGAGCATGGGGATGTGACACAGACAGAAGCTGGTTTCTAGGTAGCTCTACAAACACTTCAATAATCTCCTTTAGCACAAAGCAACAATAAACTTCTTCAAGTGACACTGCAGGCAAGTCAACTCAAACTTCACTGGCAGATTTTTGCCTGGAGTGACGGCATAGACAGACAGTTTCAGAGAGCTTAGATCACCTAAACCTACAGCTAAAACACAAATGATTAAACAATATATGACTGCAATGACAGCTGCTCAGTGCAGAAATCAATATTCTTGCATAGAAAAGAAGACAGCTACAAATAAGCCTATTGATAAGGTAGCGCCAGCTGATCAATATTTACGAAAGTTGGCAGTCTAAAGTTTAACAGATCTATTATTTTCCTTCTAAAGATAAATCTTCATGGAGGTTCACTGCAAACCAAGCCACACAAAGGCTTTCTGTGTGAAAATCACCACCTTGAAAATGGTGAGCAAATGCTCGCGTGCTGCCGCTCAAAATGGTCAGTGTGAAACCCAAGTCCCTTAAGGTCTTGTTAGTGCTGGCCAACCAGTCCAACTAGTCCAACAGACACAACGAATCGGGCCCGAGTGCCTAATAAATTAAAAACTAATCCTGTCATCACATCCTCTTCCCTGAAGGGCTGGATTTTCAGAAGTTTGGCATCCTAATGGTTTTCTTCAGATGTATCCCGAGCTCATGCTCATGCAAACAGAGGACTGTCATCAAACTTTGCAACATCTATGCCCTATAAAATGTGATTATTTAAGTGAGAAGCAGCTGCAGTAATCGCTGGAAATGCTGCCAGTATAACACTCCTCTCATAAGGTGTGTTTAACTACACCACAAAATTATACATTTCTGAAAACAAAGATCACAAGAAGCTGTTATTATGACAGTAGCCATAATGTCACGATAAAACGTCATGAAATCCAACTGATATATTGCTTCCAAGTCCCCATACAAAAAAAAAAAAAAAAAAGACGGGGGTAACACCATGGTACTTGGCCACAATATTTCAAAAGTACATGTTAAAAAAAAAAAAAGCTTGGTGTCATGCGTTTGAGAATATTCTAAGATTTCAGGCTTGTTTTAGAGATGTTATAGGCTACTCGAAATCTTACCTGTAACATTAAATGTTTAGTGCTGATCTGCTCATCTGTATGAGTTTAAAGGGAAGTCAGTCTGGTTACAGTCTATCATGCATCAGCTGTAAGTTATCCTTATCAGAGCAGGTAAAACACCGGCTCAATTTCGAGGTGCAAAAAACAGCTGTCAGAAATGATATAAATCCGCTGACGAAGTTAAAACGGAAAAGTTATCGAGTTTGAATGATAAACCAGTAGTCCAATGCTGCGCCATTCAGATCCGGTGACTTTTCAGTGCAGTTTTTCGCTCTGAACTCAGCGCACTCCAGCGGACCGACCCAAACACACGCGCAGGGTAAGCCTTGCGGCTCGGCTTATGAATATTAATTACGTAACATGACGTCCACCGGGTACGTTGAACTGATTGGCTGCAAGCTGGCCCTTTGAAGGTGGGCTCTAGCGGGGCGAATGGATGCTATTGTGGAATCCTACCGTAATTTATGAATATTTAATAAGGTTACGTAACAGGACGCTCTAGGAGAGTTACCACGCAACTGAATAATAAAATTGATAATTACCAGGTAAGTTTTCGCTATAGTTAATTTACCTGCGGATATTTAAACTTAAAGCTTCTTTTTATTTCTTTAAATTCATCTCCAGTTCTCGTCTCTGACCGCCTGCACTGAAGCAACAGTGTTTAGCTTGAATTACAATGCATTAAAATAATTAACTTCACTTTCTTTTAACTCATCAAATTGGCATTATTAAAATGTATAATAATAAAAAAGATATTTATTAAAAATCAATACTGCTGTTTTGGATTTGTGGCCAGGTTTTCATTAAATATTAAAGTTCTGAAACACAGTTTCTTCAAATTCAGCTGTTCATAATACTGTTATTTAATCATTTATAGTTAATAAATAAATATTATAAAAATGTATATATAAGTAAATATAAAAAATTGCTGTAATTATAGATATTTGTTAGTACTTTTTCACACTCGGTCTGCTATTAAATTTCTCCAACACAGCTGTTGTGCTTTCCATTGAGTATGTGTTTGAATTCCTCATGACTCTTGAGGTTTCAGAGATGTCTAAAAGAAAGTAGAGCAGCAGCCTCATGGTAATCTAGGTGCTGAAAACTGAGACTGTGTTTCGGCTGCCTTCAGTTTCCCTGAGGGACAGAGCTGTGCCTTCATTTGCAAACCAATTGGCTTTAAAACAGGATTTCTATTCACATGTAAAGGATGTCATCTACATGAAACAACAGTTTGATCCTTTAAGCTGCCCAGAGCTCATATTACACTGAAAATGGCAATAAAAAGGGAAGTAATACACAATCATGTTACATATTGAAGAAAAAGAAACAAAATGTTGTGTATTTATTTTGTGCAATTTCCAGAAGTTGTGATTTCTTGACAGTATGTTTAATACTACACTGTAAAACAAATTCTGTAGTTTTTACAAAATAATTTTGGCAGCTGTGGTTGCCAGAATAATGTTGTAAAAAATACAGAAAAACTGTAAACACATTTACGGCCAAAAACTGTACATGATTTCAACAAAATACTTTCAAATGTGGAGTGTCATGCAGGGAATTCTGGGAATGTCAGTTTACAGTTTTTGACTGTAAATTATACATTGATTTGTTAATGTTACTTCTAAAAACTGTCAAATTAACAGCATTTTACTGTAAAATTACATGAAATGTCTGGTTAGATATTTTACAGTTTTTCCCTGTATAGAGTACAGGAACTTACTGTTAACCTATTAACAGTTTTTTTCCGTAGCGTTTTTACAAAATTTTACAGTTAAAATTACACTTATTTTTTACAGTGTAATTTTAAATTTTAAAAAACTTGTGTTTTTGTGTGTATATATATATATATATATATATATACATACATATCTTAGTTTTTTTCTTTATTTTTATTTTTGTTAAAAGTCCATTGACTATAAGCACCATTTGTTAAAAAAGGCCCTTGTTACATACTTGAGAAAACAGCCACAGCCCAACACGTCTGCTGTTAATGTTCCTGAACTGTGATTTTCACGAGTAAGTGACAAATGCAGAGCATCGCCACATTAAAAAAAGAAATGAGTACAAGTAAACACTTTTAATGCATTATAATTTGTTTTTAGGCATTTGGGAAGACCCTGCTAGCAGTGATCATTAATTAACATTTCATAAAATGCTTTGTGAGCAGGTTAATCCGTTAATTAGATGGTTTGATCTTAACCAGCTACTTTATTATACTTGACTCCCACCATATAATTAGACATGAAGTGAGGCAGGATTACAGATGACTCGGGTTCTAATGGTCAGTATGGTTAGCGAGCGCTTTTGCGGAGCAGCTGTCATCTGGGATTTACATCAGCGCTGCAGTTTAATTTGAGAGCGAGGATTTCAATGAAGGGAAGTTCAGCTGGAGATCAGAACAAAGTGCATCTCCTGCCCTTCCTGGAATTCTCCGCAAGAACATTCTCACAACGAATCCCGCTGAAGGAGAGAGAGAGACTTAGAGAAACCCTGCTGGGACCAGACCCCTCTGCCTCTTCATCAATCACTCCACAGGACGGGACAACAGTCTCCTCCTAATGAGACTGACAATGCCGCACTGGTGTCTGCGGTGTCATGGTTCCTGCTTTGTACTTATCCAATTAACCATTACCAGAGGCTCCAATCAACATGACAATTTACAGCCTGAAATTCTGAAACTAATGTGACACTAATGCAACATTACACTCTGGTAACACTTTATTTTACAGTGTTCCTGTTGCACATGTAACATGTACTTACTATTATAATAATAAATTATGCATAATTACATGCAAGTAACCCAGTTAAGCCATATAGTACATGTAGTTAATTAATATTACTCAGTACTTAAATGTAGAATTACACTGTAACAAGGACACCTTCAAATAAAGTGTAACCCACACTCTTATAGAAAAAAAATTCATCCATGTCTGTAAGCTCTAAGAAAATCTATATGCAAGTTTCCTCCTAAAAATGAACAAATTAGCATATGAATTTCAATTGTATATTCTTTTGTGGGACAAATGACCAAAAATATTGAGTCATCCATTATTTAGAATATTTGCCATGAATATTTGCCATGAATAATTAAAGTGGATTATTTCCATCTAATCACTTCATCTATTATTATTTTAGCAACATTGATGTACTATTTTAGTGTGTTCTTGTCATTTTTATTACTGTTTTATTTGTATTTGTTTATTAATGTCTACATAGTTTTTATTAACTTTAATTTCAGTTTTAGTCCATTTTTATATATATTTTATGATTTTATAATATATATAATATAAATATTTTTAAGATTTTTTTATAAATGATAAAATAAATTAAAATAAGTAATTTTATTTTATTCTAAAAAGATGTAATTAACATAACTTGACCGCTCAAAATTGTTTGCTTTGAGAAAACAAGCATTTTATCAAAAATATGAGCAGATTTCTGCAAAAAATCCTCTGAAATAGTTGTTTTTCACCAATCCTGAAAAAGAAAGAAAGAAAGAAAGATTTTAAGTATATAAAAGATTACCTGGATATATACAGTACACTAAAGTGTTATCTAGCAAATCTCAACTGCTTGATTGTCTATATTGTCACAAAATGTAAACTATATTGTCACCTAGTGATTTATAATGCACATTGTCTCAAAGCAGCTTTACAAAAAAGCACGATGTTAATGTTTACCCCTTATAGTTGTACATTTACATTTTATGACAATACAAAAATGTATTTTTTTCCAAGATGGTAGCTACAGCCTCAGCGTTCACATTGCATCTGTGTTAGCACATTAAAATGGGGTTAAATGTATTTTAACATTGAAATTCTTAAAATAAAGTCCTCTGTTTAAGAACAGATTACCTGTTAAGTAGATCACTGGACTCTTATCTGCTGTGCTGTGACCACACAGATAAACCCAGCGCTCTCCCCACCGTGACCGTGAAGCTGTGGATTAGTGTAGAGGAGCATTTAGAGTTTGGATCTGAGGGTTTTTTCCCCGGATTACTCCTGGAGAAGTTTTAGAGAAGAAAGATGGAGAGAGGAGCGAGCCAACTGGCGTGAAACTAAAAAAGCAGCATTAAATATGTCAGAATCAGCTGTTACCCCAAGATCTCCCTCCTACGATGCCTGGCCGCTGTGGTGCTATTGTCTTAGACTCCGTAAATCTCTTGCGTTCCAATGAAAACTCATACATCATAGAGGTGTGAGTCTGTTTGTTTAAATCTGCTAAAAAATGCAGCACGAAAACACAACTTTATATATAGTCTATTCTTGGTGCACCAGTATATGAATAATTAAAGTCCTTTACACATCATTTCGGTTTGGGATTTGGATGTTATAATAAGCAGTTCGGCTCACAGGCCTTGAAACATGGTTTGTTTCATCCCATGCCAACGCTTCAGGAATACCACTGAAAATCCCTCTCAGTCCATTTCTTTCAGTGAATGGATGGACACCAAGTCGTCAATCTGTGGTAGAGTCGACATCCTTCTTTGAGCACTGCTCTGTTTTATGTTGGGGCTCTTGAATGGGCAGCTGTTGGGTTTAAGGTCACTCCCCTTGGGCAGCATTTGTGGTCTTGGCTAATGACAAACACCTGTGAGAATCGGGAGTGGGGTGGAGAGCATTTATGTCACGATTTGTTAAACAGATGGCAAACATCTCCCTTTGGCTGCCCAGTCACCACAGCTCATGCCAGATTCTCTGCCCCTCCTTTAACGAACCTCATCTCCTCTTATGACGTACAAAATCTTTGATGTTTTCTTTTGAGGAATCTTCTCAATCTCAATTTTCAAGTCAAGTCAAATGTACTTGTATAGCGCTTTTAACACTCTCAGAAAAAAGGTACAAATGCTGTCACTAGGGGTGGTATCCTTACGAACGGTACTAAATTGCACTATTAAGGAACTAAAATGTACAAATGTACTAAATATGGACCTTTAAGGTACTAATATGCACCGTCTAGGGATAAACATGCACAAATGTGCACACTTTGAAAAGGTACCATAACAAAGGTAACAGCTTTTGTACCTTTTTTTCTGAGAGTGCACAATATAGTTTTAAAGCAGCTTTACAGACCATCATGATATTAATGTTTATAATATATAGTCCCATTTAGCAGATTGGAGCTGGGTGATAATATAGTTTACGGTTTTACAATGATACAAAAAATGTATTTCCAAGATGGTACCTGCATCAGCATTTACACTGTTATATCTGTATATATCTTTAACACTGGAGAAAAAAGTGCCCTGTTTAAGAATAGATTTTAGCATTTTAAATCCAGTTTTGTGTAAAAACAAAACAAAACAAAAAAACAAGTATTTTGTTTTAAATGTCATTTGACAGAATGATCAACTAATAAGCTAATAATGAGAGTCAAATTGTACCAGCTTGTTCTGGAGAGGAGCATTGTTACTTTTTCATTATTACTTATCTTAGAAATATTGCCCCCTGGTGGATAAAAATGCATAGCAACACCCTGGCAACCACTTGCAACTTCTTAGCAT